CATCTTAGTCGGCCTGTTGCTAGAACCAGAGGCATGCACCATCACACCCAGGTAGTAATTTTTATTTGTTTGTTTGTTTTTAGGTCTACAAACATATCATAGTGCTCATGAACACTAAGCCAACACTCTTCCACGCTCGACAAACTTCTGTAGTTTCTAACAGGGGCTATACTTCTGTGTCTCAGGGGTAGACACAGGGTCTGAGTCTCCAAGCTGCCTTCAACTAGGAAAGGCCCCCGTATATATGCTATATGGCTACATGAGGCTTGGGGAGAACATCTTCTAGCAACAGGCATCACATAGAGAGAAACCGCAGCCCTTACAGTCTCCAGTGGAAAAGGTTCATACCAGAAATCAGAGGGCCTGTTCCAACCCAGCCGCCACCTTAGCTATGAGACAGGCAACTGAATGAATGAGTCCTCCTTCTACAGGCCTGGAGTCCTCCGGGAAACAACAGCCAACAGCGTGGCTAGAGACACCGCTAATACATAGCGCTTCCAAGTCTAAATCTCCACAATCTAGATGATTCAGAGGAAGGCAGCGTCTTCATCATTACAGGGCTGTCAGGCCCAGCCCCAACCCTGAGTCAGTAACTTCCTACCAGGCTTACATTATTAAATACTGGGCTGTATTTAATACCAGTGAAGCTTTTTGTCTGGTTGGTCTCGGGTAGTTAGTTTTGTTGTTGTTGTTTTTAATTAAAGTTAACCCATAATGGGCTATGGAATGTCTCATCCAGCAAAGGTGTTTTGTCACCAAGTCTGGTAACCTGAACTCTATCCCCGGGGACCCACTTGGAGTAAGGTAAGAAGTTCCTCCTACAAGTTATCCTGACCTCCACATGGCAAGCATAAACATATACAAATAAATAATGTATCTGCCTGTTTTTTTTTTTGACCATGTATTTTTGTTTGACCATGCATGGAGCGCGCGCAATAGAGAGTCAGCAATGTGGTTAAGTGCTGAGTCCAATCTCCACACCACATACTTGTGGAGGGGTGGGGAGAGGTGGGACTGGAAGAAGAGGAAGAGGAAAAGGAAGGCACCAAGACTCACAACACAGGGGAGGTGGTGTGGTGCAGTGGTGGTGCAGGGGCAGAGGCAGGCGGAACTCTGTGAGTTCAAGGCCAGGCCAGTGAGTTCCAGGACAGGCTTCAAAGCTACAGGGAAACCTAGTCTTGAAAAACAAAAAAACAAAAAGAAAAAGCAATCAAAAACAACACTGGGAGGCAGAAACAGGCAGATCCCTGGGGCTCTCTGGCCAGCCAGCCTAGCTGACTTGGCAAGTGATTCCAGACCAGTGAAAGGCCTTATTATCTAAAAGGGAAAAAAAAATGATCTGAGGTCTGAGGAAGGACACCCAAGGTTGTCCTCTGGCTTCAACAAGTATACTAGAACACACACAATCACAGTTAATCCACGCAATTTTGCTTCTTAAATTCCTTATTCTGAACCCCCTCTCCCATGTGTCTATGTGTGTGTGTGTATAAGCAAGAGAGAGAGAGAGAGAGAGAGAGTGTAAGCAAGAGAGAGAGAGAGAGAGAGTGAGTGAGAGAGTGTGTGTGTGTGTGTGTGTAACCCTGGGGACAAGCCCAGGCTTTCAACCTTGCGCGGCCAGCTTTCTTTCACTGAAATACACACAAACGCACCATTAACCCTGCTCTAGACGGGAGCTCAGCTTTGTTTTCTCGGTCTCTCGGAGCTGCTCTCTTTCCTGGAACCGCGGAACATTGTATGTGTTAAAACAAGACTGGCGGCGAGCAGAAGCCAATAGTCTCTGTATCATTTCAAAGGCCCCTGGTTTTTTATTTCGAGGATAGTGCTGACTTTATGTTTTCAAGAAATGATTTTCCTTTCCCTGGCTTAAACACTGCAAAGAGCAGGGTAAGGAAAAACAAATAATGGCATTACCAGCGTGTTCCTCCTCAGTCTGCTATTAACTAGTGCTGCGGCCGGCACAACAACGTTGAACCGTTTTGGGGGGTGCCAGAGACAGTCTCATCACTGACTTCAAACTTCTCACACAGCTGAAGATGACTTTGAACTCTCCCACATCCCTCTAGGCTCTCGACGTCACCTCCCGAGTGCTGGCATTACTAACACCAGCCACCACACCTCTACCTGGTAACCCCGAATTCTCCACCAAGCAGCCAGAGGTCAAGTGGGGTCAGGGGATAAGGAGAGGGGACAAAGACCAGACACTGACTCTCCAAAACCCGAGCATTATGCTTCCTTGGCAAAACCCCAGCTAGTGCTACTAATTCACAGCTAAAGTTAATCAGGAACAAGCAGCAGAAGGGCCACACAGGTTCGTGTCAAGTTCAAAGGAGCCAGAAGTTGAAGCAAAAGTTCAGCTACCATCTTCTGCATCCAGACACTCAGAGTCCTCTACACTGCTGAGCCTTAGGGCCAGCGAGCACCACGGGATGGCAGAGACTATGTGGTGCTCCACCAGTTTGAACTCTAAGTAGCTGATGCACGGCCAGCTAAGTCTACTTTTCTTACCCATCAGCTGATTTGGCTGATCTGAATTCTTTCCGTTTGAGACTTCCTATCTAAACTGCCCCCATTTGCATCTCTGATGAAATAGAGAACAATTCCATAATGTGACCTCAGGCGGTGGATGTAGCTCAGAAGCAGGACCCCAACCTGCCACGTTCAAGGTTGTGTTCAATTCCCAGTACCACAAAGAGAATAAAATGAAATAAAAATAAAAGTTAAAAATCAAAGTATGACCTCATAGAAATGGACCCATATTTATTTTAGTCTGAGTTAAACATTAAATAATTTAAAATTATCATACAGGTAGAGTCTAGCTTACTTGGCCAATTAAGAGAGAACTTCCTAGCCAGGTGTGACAGTGCACTTGGGAGGCCGTGGACCTGAGTCTTGAGGCTAGTCCAATCTACAAAGAAACACTATCTCAAGAAAAGGAGGAAAGAAGGACCATCCACCTGTGCCACACAGTCGTAGCTACTCCACTGAATACTAACATTAAACAAACAAATGGTGGGGGGGGGGATGCTCTGCTTGTGTGCTTAAGGAAACACCAGAAGAATACCAACCAAGATAAAGAGCTGTAGTTGGTGGGGGGAGAAAGGCTGGGTGGGGTGGCGTACATCTTTCATCCCAGTGGATGCAGATCCCTGGGAGTTTGAGGCCAGTCTGGTCTAGATAACGAGTTCTAGGACTACATAGACACTGTCTCAATAATAATAAAGAAAGAAAGAAAGAAAGAAAGGAAGGAAGGAAGGAAGGAAGGAAGGAAGGAAGGAAGGAAGGAAGGAAGGAAGGAAGGAGAAAGAAAGAAAGAAAGAAAGAAAATTCTAGAGCTGGATCTTTTCTTCATTATCTCTGACAGTCTTCGAACATTTCACAAAATCTCATTGTGGGAGGACCCACAATTCCACAGTCATCCCCGTCAGGAGTGGAAGCGGGCAAACACCTCCAAGTTGCCCAAGTCCTGTTCACCAGACCCTGAGAAGAAGGTAGCATCAGCACCAGGGAGCGTGAAGGGGTGTTTGTGTTCAATCCCATTCATTTGCCTTTCTTCAGTCTTCACAAAGCTGTATGCTGCTTCTCCATTATTAAGGGTTAAAGGCACCTAATCACCCGGCTTCCACCGTTTAAAACTCAGCTCAAAACGCTGCCACCCCTAAAAAACGTATGCACTCCAAAGCTTGTCGATAAGGCTGTGTGGGTGGGGGGCGGGGACATGGCTGAGCTCTCCCTCCTAATCTTTGGCAGCCGGTGTCGAGTGTCGTTTTGTAAACTTCAGGCTACTTTGATCTTGTCTTGGATTGTCCCAGGGTCTCACCTTAACACTGGCGCCAGATGCCAAAGAAAGATTGCTCGCCCCCCTCCGGGAGCCAGCCATAGCCTAAGTAACACAAAAGCACAGGGCCCTTTCACAAAGTAGTGAGTGGATCACATGTCTGATAGATTAAATGCACCGGTTTTAAATACAAATACGTTGCGGATCGCCGACTCCATTTGTTGCCACACCAAACCACACGAGTCTATTTCAAATTGCCTTGATTGGCTTCATGTTCTCGCTGTTGAGTCCCTGGACAGACGCAAAGCACTTGTGAAATATCCAAAAAGGAGAGGAGAAAGGGGAACGAAAGGGAAGCCCGGGCCAGAGTGACCCTTACTGAGTCACCGTTTCCTGAATGGCGGAGATCGCTGTTGGGGGGGGGGGGGATCGGAAGAAGGCAAGCTGACCTGCGCGTAGAGGCCGAACCCTTAAGCAAGGAGCCCCCCACCCTGCAGCTCTGAAACCCAGAGCCTGGCCCGGCGTGCTGGAGCGCCCTCCGGTGGCCACGCCGCAGGCCCCACCACTGGGGCTCTTCCTCAGACCACGCTCCCCGCCGTGGAAGGAACGAGACACGCAGAAAGTTTCCAAGCCAGGCGGTCAGCAAAGGACTAGTCAGCTCCCGGAGGGAACCTGGATGCTCCGGCTGGGCAGAAGCCAGCGCCCAGACCGGAGGCGACAAGGAGAAGTCGGGGGTCTAAACCGACCCCTCCAGGCCTCGGACGTGCCTTCGGGCGGGACTCTGGTCTGCAGATCCCACCGGCGCGGGATTTGTCCCTGCAAGCCCACCTTGGCAAAGGGGTGTATGGGTACAGTGCATACCACCACGGCGGGGTACCCTCGACACCCTGGCTGCAAAGCATGATTGGGCTCTTGTTGGACTCAGTGCATTTGCTTAATTGGAGGGAGGGGGCGCAGCGACTCCCTGTGACGCATTGTGGTCCTCAGTAATCTGATTCCAGACGTCCCTAAAGAGCCCACCTTGACTCTCCCGCCCCACCCCCACGCCACCTTTCCCCGGCCGGGGTGATGAGTGGGAACGGTGAATACCTGCCTCGTCCCCTCCAGCCTTCAGGTTTGGGCGCCAGGGTAGCACCCGGGTTTTCCAGCCGCACGCAGTTGGACCCGCTGGCCGAGTGGCGGCGGCTGGAGACCAGGGGCGGGCGAGGCCCGGCGCGGTGCCTACCTCGTCCACGGTGAGCGGCATGCAGATTCGGTACTCCTTCAGCAGCATGGTCCTGCCGGCCGCGGACCGCGGAGAAGAAGCGGGCGTCCCAACAGATGAGCAAGGTTGGCGCCCAGCGGAAGGCAAGGGCACTGGTAGCCGGCGAGCGAAGCAGTCCCGGCGGTGCGCTCAGCTCCTGGCTGCCTCCGGTCCGCCCTGGAGCATGTCAAGCTTCGAGTCCCGGTGTCTGTGACTCCCCCGCCTCTTTCCTAGCGGAGATCAGCTCTCCCGGTGTTGCAAAGTCAAGGATTATGGGGAGGGAGACCCGCGGGAGACAGCTCGAATCGGTAGCCCCGGGCTGGTAGGCGCGGCCACCAGATCAGGACATGCCCGGCGGCGGGCAAGAGAGGCAAGAGGGAGGGGAAAAAAGATTTCCACAAATTCAAACAAATGCACAAAAGTCACCCTCTCGATCCTCGTCCGAAAGCAGAGCTGAACCTTGCGAGCCCCGTTTTCCTTCGACCCGTCTACCCTGGGCTAATGTCACCAGGAACACATTGCCGCGGGAGCCGGCGATGCTGACTTTCCAAACAAAGGCTCGCTGGTCTCCTCTCCCCGGGCGGTAAACAAGATTTCCTGCGCTTTTTTAGGGCCAGTCCCCGAGTCTCTCCAGGGCTCAGCTGGGAGAGAAAAGGGAAGCCGCAGCCGCCAGGGCTCTCCCCTGTTCTGGGCCCCGGGTGTCTCCAAGCTCGGAGGGTGGCTGCCAGCGCCTTGCGCGCGTCCCCCTCCCCCGAGTCCCTCGGCTCTGCGAGCGCCGTGCGTGCCCGTGAGTTTGCAGCTACCTCGCCGCGTCTGGAGAGACCGCGCCGAGCTGCAGTGTGCCTGGGGCCGGGAGGTGGGTGCGGGAGGAGCGAGAGCGACCAGGCTGACATCAGCAGCGGCCGCGGCGGGGAGGGTAGCCCCATCCGGCCAATGGGGAAACGGCAAAGAATGTGGAGGATTTAAACAAAACAGCATGTCTCTCCCCGTCTGCTGCCAGACGCCAGGGCTGTCCCGGAACCCATAACAGCTAGCGCCGAGGAGGATCTCAAAGAGGGGTTATCCTGAACTCTTAAAACATTGAGATCTGTTTTCTAATGTACCTGGGGTACCACAGGGCTCTCGGCTTAGTCGCTCTGAAAACGCTGTTTCCAAAGACCCCCTTGACTTTAGGAGCGGGGGTCTTTACAAAGGCCCACTGCGGGCATTTTTCTCTCTGATAGGGTAAGCAAGGCCTGAGCAAGAAAAGTGATGATTTTGAGAATGTGTTTTCTAATATGCTCTCGAGACAGAATCCTGCAACAGTGTGGTGACAACAAAGTACACACACACACACACACACACAGAGAGAGAGAGAGAGAGAGAGAGAGAGAGAGAGAGAGAGAGAGACCCTGTCATCACTTGTTACCTCTTATGCCCTGGCTCTGCAATCCCACTGCAGGCTTCTCAGAGCAGGAAGACTAGGTTTCCGTGTCAGCACTCCTAAGTTCAAAAAGCCACAGTGAAACGTCAATAAAAATGCCTGGGGTGTTGGTATTTCATCCATATTAAACAGATCTCTCATTTTAACCACGAGAAGCACATTCTTTAGTTACTCAGGAAGCAGCATGTAACTGCTGATGTCTGGTTTTCATTTGTCTGGTATTCATTTTTTTTAAGCTTGTTTTTTCTAAAAATGAAAAAGAAATGCATCCACTGCTTATAAGAGAATAATCTGTAAGCATCACTGATTCTTCAATTAATATACATAGGTGTGTGTGTGTGTGCGCATGCGCGCGCACTTGTGAGCTCTGGTGACCCACATCTATACAAAGAGTTTATACTGGGCAATGTAGATTATGCAGACCTCAATGATACAGTATTTTAAATTATAATCAATAAATCACTAAATCAATGTCATGGGTATGGCCTGTGGTTAAAGTTGTCCAGATGGCCCAACTGAGTTTAGAATTTAAGGAATGTGATCCAGCCTGCTAGGAAAATGACACCCTAAATCTAACTTATATTTTGGTAAAAACAAAACAAAAAACCTATTTTCTAGATAAATGCTTCCCAAAGTTGGTTCAGAAACATTTACAGCAGCTAATTAAAGTTAAACCAAATTCCTTTAGGTAGAGAATTTGTTTCTGTTTTTTAGCACTAAGTTTCTCTGTGTAGTCCTAGATGTCAGGGAACTCACTTTGTAGACCAGGCTGGCTTCAGAACTCTGAGATCCACCTGCCTCTGTCTCCCAAGTGCTGGAGTTAAAGGCATGTGCCACCACTGCCCTTTGAGATAGACAGGTAGAAAATTTAAATCTGACACTGTAGTGTTGGATAATAACACTATGAAGGCTGTGACAAAGAAAAAAAAATCCCAGCTGTTTTTTTTTTTTTTCTCTTAGTGGAGTGGCACTTAATCCCCTTTGCAGTGGCAGGTCCCATACAGCTCCTCCCATGTGTTTTAAATTACCTCTAGGCTGCTTATATTGTCTAACGCAATGTGCATGTGATGTAAGTAGCTGCTATACAGTGAATAACGACAGGGAAACATCTTCATGTGCTCAGTGCGGTAGTGTTTTCTGTACAGTTTTGATCTGGGTGGAGGGCGAGTCAACAGGCAAGGAAACTGCCCCGCCCTCCCTGCCCCGCCCTCCCCCCAGGCACTGCTGGCAGACTGTTCCCACCTCCTCTCGCAAGGTGACTTCCCCAAAGGATTCTCTTTTCCCTCCTAATCAGCTTCTTTATTGCCTTCACATTAACACTGTGTGAGCACAGCTCTGACGCTAGCTAGTACCTTAAAAGCCTTTTGGCGACGGCAGCAGGGGGCAGGCTCTGAGGCTCTCTCCCGTGTCGGCCCACTAGTATTTCCTAACCCTGATGGCTGCAGAAGACCTCCACCTTCAGCTCATCCCCTTTTGTCTTCTCAGAGAATCCTCCGTGCCATCTTCACCCTCGCAACATCATTTTAAAGGCAAGCATTATCTATCTCTGTGTTACGGAAAGCGATGAGGACGGCAATATGCTGAATTGGTTAGAGCACAACACGAGAGGTGACTGTATCAACTACAGAAAACATAGGGGAACATATGGACTAGAGAAGGAATGAAGAAGAGAGGAGGAATACAAACGATCTGGGCAGGAATTAGGGTTGGCTAGTATTCATTACTATGGCTCTTGTTCTGGGGTTAGGAAGAGTTCATTCATAACTCATTTGGTCTAGGGGAGGAGAGTGCCACCTACTGGCCAAAGGTGAATGTTTGCAAATGTTTCAAGCCCTGCCTTCACCAGCAAATGCATAAGAACTGTACCTTTTCTGTTTTTGTTTGGGGGGGGGCTGGGTTTTTCTGTAGCCCAGGCTGTAGAACAGAATGACCTGCCTCTGCCTCCTGAGTGCTGGGAGTGAAGGTGCGTGCCACCACGTTTGGCCATACCTTTGTTTCTCTTAAGCCAATAAAGGGCAATGCTAGTATGGTAACGGTTGGTAAGAAGGTTGTCCATTAAGGACGGGAAACCATCAGTTATCGGTCACCACATTTAAAAATGAGTGTGGGGCACAGAGGATGTAAAGATATCATATGTGTTGACTTGAGACAGTGACACTTCATGGTGGGGGTCACTGCAAGGCATTTAACGGCATTCTTGGTTTCAACCATCCAGCATTTGGCTGTGTTGGGATGGGGGTGATAAGGAATCAGGGTGAGATTCATCAGTCATCTGCCAAAGTCTAGCGGTTCCGAGCTTGACCGAGCTGACTTTCGACTTGTCCAAACAGAACTGGCGGGTGGGGGAAGAGGAGTGTAGTTCAGTGAGAGAACACTCGTGCTCAGAGTCCTGGCGTCTTCTATTCTTCTCGCGCTACATACAGTGAGGAGAAAGGGTTGAAGGAAGAAAATAATTTTAAAAAGAAAAACCAGGCCTTCTGGGCTGGACAGATGGCTCAGCGGTTAAGAGCACTTGCTGCTCTTCTAGAAGACGCCAGTTCATGTTGAGAGCCATGCCGCCTAGTCTCAGACCAGCGTTCGAATGCCTGAGGTCCAATGGGTCTCCTCGAGGCAAAAGGGTGGTGAGGGTGGTCTCTCGCTTGGCAAGGACCAGTGGACCACAGGGCAGTGTCGGACTTTGCTGAATTCATGCAGCTTGCGGGCTCTTTCCTATAGGTCTATTGATTTCTTTGGCGGGTTTTAATTTCACTTTGTCAGTCACGCATGCAACAGCTGTAATTTCCCCCCGGAAATTCTGTTCTTCCTCGAATATTTTCTCCTTAGAATCAGCAGGGGACTAATGCTTCTCAAATCTCTTATCTGGAATTACTAACTACGACTCCTAATCCTGGGAGCTTTCCTAACTCGACAGAGGCAGTTAAAATTAATGGTTCTGGCTTTCGTATTTGTCCTACGGAAAAGGTAGCTAGAACCACCTTGTGGATAAAGACTCATGGAACAGTAGAGGCAGGAAGTAAAGAGTCCACATGTGAACATGACACTTGGAGCATTGCCCATGTCTCACGGGTCTGGAAAGGAGAGTAAGGCATGCAGACACAGAATAGGGAAACAGCCTCGGGAGTACACATAGTGCCACTGTTGAAAGTAAGTTCCCTGGACACTACACATAGAATCATTGGTAGGGTCTGGTATGCTCCAAGAGGAAAGAAAATACAATGCAAAATGTGGGATGACAGCTCCATCATTACCATACACAGGAGCTTATACTGGTGGGAGGTGCGTGGTGTGGTGGATGGGAAAAGAGCGCCTTACCAATGTCTGCCTTTTACAGAGAGAGGGTGGCATGGGACCGTCTTGGAGAAGGGGGAACCATATAAAAGCATATCTTGCAGACATGAAAGAATTGTCTGGGTTTGAATATTGTCCTTTACAGCATTGTGCCCACGTCAATTACTTCTTAACTTTGTCACCACAAGTAGCTGCCAGCTGACATCAGTGCTGCAAGAGCAGGATGCGTCTGGCTAATGTTTAGTTAAACCTGCAAAAATGCTGCACTCTATGTCTAGAATAAGGTTATATAGGGGGTGGGAAAGTGTATTTGGGGAAGCACAAAGGGGAACAATGGGGGCTTTTGTAATGATTGTGATGTATTTCTCAAAATATGATGTATTTCTTAAAAGTCAAAAATAGGAGCCAGTAGTAAAGCTGTTCATGTAAGTCTGGTGGAAAACTCTGTTAAAGTATGAATAACGACAGCTAAAGCTATTTGGGTTCACTTGAGTGCAGTCCACTTGGTGGTCAGATTTCTTCTTTGCGCCAACACCCTTCCTGTATCAGGACATGAACCCGAGCTGAGGCAGGACCCTGGCAAATTCAGTTCTTAGCCCCCACATCAAGCAGCTCCCAACTGCCTGTATCTCCAGCTGCAGGGCATATAACATCTTCTTCTGGCCTCTGAGGGCACACAACTACTCACAGAAAATGCACATATATACACAACCACAATAATAATTTAAAAATATCCTGGGAGTGACGGTGAACGCCTTTAACCCCAGCGTGGTGTGGGAAGTCCACTTGGGAAGCAGAGGCAGGCTGATCTCTGTGAGTTCAAGGCATAGTTTATATAGCAAGGTACAGTTCAGTCGGAGTTACACAATGAGACCCTGTTCCACAAATAAATAAATAAATGAATAGAAAATTTAAAAAAAGAGTTTAGCGCTGTTGTCATTCCCATTTCATTTTACATTGCCAAAGTAACCCTTGATAAAGGCCCCTCTGCTTACTTTAACCTCACCCTTGATCAGTTAGCTAAGGTGGTCTCTGTTTTTCCACTGTAAGGATAATGTTTTTCCTCTTTCCATGCCTCCTTCTTTTATTTATTTATTTATCTATCTATTTATTTATTTATTATGTATACAATATTTTGTCTGTGTGTATGCCTGCA